TCATCATTCAAGAAGACAGTGTAATAATGAGACGATGACATCATCTCTGCATGACGTGACAGTGTGTTGTTTCTTGTTGCAGCACTCCAGCAGCTCCTGCAGCAGCGACTCTGACTAGATGAAGATTCCTTGCCATGAAGAGAAACATGACAAGTTGCTACCTGGACGCCTTCTTCTTCCTACTTACAATAATCAGTTTATTCACTCACCTACTTTTTAAAGCGTGTGTTTTAAATACAACACACGGGTTTTAGGAATCTTTCAGAGTCATGTTTAAGTTATGTGTTAAACCATATTACATATTAAAGTAGACAGAGCTGTACACATACAGCAGCAGCTCCGACCTCTGACTCTCTTCAGAACAAATTGCCAGCGCTGCTGCTGTTTTGACAAGGACATCAGCAGTAGTCAGTGTGTGACACTGTGTATGCTTTTTATATACTGGACGCTGATCATAATTGTTGCCTTGTAATAAACAGGAATCTGGTAATCACAAACTCTTGCCTCCGTTTTGACTGGCACTGTCTTATTACTGTACATGTCATCAGTAGGTGCACTTGTCTTTATTTACCCAGGGAGGGTTGAAACCTGAATTCTGACTTTTGTTCAGCAGTGTTTTCCTCTAGTTACACACCCTACAGTTCTGTAGCCCTCTAATAGTCAGTGATCTCAACACTAACAACAAAAGAAGTGATTTCAAGAAAAACATTTACCAGTCCAACCAGTTTTTAGTTGCTTTATCTTAAATTCTTTTTGAAAGCCATTTGTTAAGATGCTCCTGACATTGTGTTTGCATCAAAATGTTGGTACTGCCCAAACAAATTTAGCCAAATTGACAGTTTCCATTAAAATAATTGATTCCTAGCAGGTGATGTTAACACATACAGTACAGATCCTCTGCCCTGTCAAAAACCCAAACCCTGCTTCTTACACCCTGTGTACCAGCAGCTTCAGGTCTTGACCTGAGATGTGACTCCTTAAAGACTTGACTAGCCTAAGACTGCTCTGAAGACTCTTTTACACTTGGTTAAATACATGAAGTGAGGGTAGACTTGTAATCTGAAATCAGCTCAAGAAATAAGGAAGCCAAAGTGAACAAAGAGAATAGGCGATCTGAGTGTAGGCACACAATGTCAAAGTTCTGGATAGGGCAGGGCCCGAACGCAGACCGGAACAGATGATCAGTAACAAGCAAGGTTTAATATAAAGCTACACAAAACTAAAATACAAATGAATAAACTCAAGAGCTAAACTTGACAAAATGCAACACAATGGCATCTAAAGAAAAATAACAGCACCATCAAAGAGCAAAAACAGTGAAACAAACAAACAAACAAACAAAAAAAAAATATATATATATATGTAACAAGACTAACGAACCAAAGATCACAACAAACCAAAAACCGAAGGTAGTAAGCAAAAAAATAAAGACGAGGCACAAGTAGAAGAGTCCCAAAACATAGAGGAGCCAATCACAACGCCACAGGTGCAATACAAATAAACAGGATTTGCCGCACAGGTGAATCAGCAACCTGACTGAAGGAAGTGAGGAGCATATGCAGGTGCAGCTCAATAAATTATAATATTGTGGAAAAGTCCATTTATTTTGGTAATTCAACTCAAATAGTGAAACTCGTGTATTATATACATTCAGTACACACAGAATGAAGTAGTTTAAGCCGTTGGGTCTTTTAATTGTGATTTTGCTCACATTTAACAAAAACCCACCAATTCACTATCTCAATAAATTAGAATACGTCACAAGACCTATAAAAAAACCATTTAGTGAATTGCTTGCCTTCTGGAAAGTATGTTCATTTACTGTATATGTACTCAATACTTGGTAGGGGCTCATTTTGCTTTAATTACTG